CATTGGAGAACATTGTGACAACTGGAAAGATTAATGGAAAAAGGGTTAGAGGCAGACTAAGAGTGATGATGCTGGATGGGCTGAAACGATGGCAGGAAGGGATGTCCTCAAGAAAGCTGTTCCAGCAACCAGGGATCGTTATCTGTGAGAGACGCATAGGCGCCTATGCCAGTTGGCAGGGCACATGATGATGATACCAACCTTTGTCATATTAGGGACAGATGTGGACATTGACTAAAGAACACAAGTGAATCTTAACCACCTGCAAAATGAGATGTTTTAAAAAAGGCCATAAACAAAACTTGAAAAGATCATTTAAGAAACAAAGAAATTACAAGTTATTGGAACCATGCCTATAATTACATTTGTTGAAAAACGAAGACTGAAATGGTTTGGCCATTAACTGAGAATGAAAGCAATGATGCCAACAATGAGAATGTACTGCCTGTAAGTAGAAACACCTAGAGGTAGAGGATATCAAGAAGAATAAGGGTTACATGAGTTACTGTTACCTTGAGACTTCACGTCACACTGTGCAGGGCAGTCGAGCGTGCTCTCGCTCGGAAACCAATCATCTGTTAATCTACGATGTCTAGCAGCACAGAACAGAAAATGTACAAAATAATTATGTTGCAAGGCATAGTTAGAGCATACTGATGTTTCAAGTAATTTGACAAGGCTCAGCAAACATCATGCCAAAACATCCAAATAGTTTGACAAGGCTCAGCAAACATCATGCCAAAACATCCAAATAGTTTGACAAGGCTCAGTAAACATCATGCCAAAACATCCAAATAGTTTGACAAGGCTCAGCAAACATCATGCCAAAACATCCAAATAGTTTGACAAGGCTCAGTAAACATCATGCCAAAACATCCAAATAGTTTGACAAGGCTCAGCAAACATCATGCCAAAACATCCAAATAGTTTGACAAGGCTCAGCAAACATCATGCCAAAACATCCAAATAGTTTGACAAGGCTCAGCAAACATCATGCCAAAACATCCAAATAGTTTTGACAAGGCTCAGCAAACATCATGCCAAAACATCCAAATAGTTTGACAAGGCTCAGCAAACATCATGCCAAAACATCCAAATAGTTTGACAAGGCTCAGTAAACATCATGCCAAAACATCCAAATAGTTTGACAAGGCTCAGCAAACATCATGCCAAAACATCCAAATAGTTTGACAAGGCTCAGCAAACATCATGCCAAAACATCCAAGTAATTTGACAACCTCTACAAACATAAAAGGAAAAAAAACAACTAATTTGTCAGCCTCTACCATCATCATGCCAAGAAAAATACAATTAGTTTGAAAACCTCTATAAATACCATACTGGAAAAAGTAATTAAACATAACTTTACATTGCATGCTTTTTGTGTTGTTTTTTTTCCATCTAATTTTTATGCTATTGTGTTTTACACTGTATGCCTTGTTGTGTTGATTATCCTTGTGGACTGTTTTGATTTCACGTTCTGTGGTTTGATGATTTCTGAATAATGCTCTGTGTGGTTTACAGTTTGCTTCAAATGTGTGGTTCACAGTTTGCTTCAGATGTGTGGTTCACAGTTTGTTTCAAATGTGCGGTTCACAGTTTGCTTCAAATGTGTGGTTCACAGTTTGCTTCAGATGTGTGGTTCACAGTTTGTTTCAAATGTGTGGTTCACAGTTTGCTTCAGATGTGTGGTTCACAGTTTGCTTCAGATGTCTGGTTCACAGTTTGCTTCAAATGTGTGGTTCACAGTTTGCTTCAGATGTGTGGTTCACAGTTTGCTTCAGATGTGTGGTTCACAGTTTGCTTCAGATGTGTGGTTCACAGTTTGCTTCAGATGTGTGGTTCACAGTTTGTTTTAAATGTGTGGTTCACAGTTTGTTTTAAATGTGTGGTTCACAGTTTGTTTCAAATGTGTGGTTCACAGTTTGTTTTAAATGTGTGGTTCACAGTTTGTTTCAAATGTGTGGTTCACAGTTTGTTTCAAATGTGTGGTTCACAGTTTGCTTCAGATGTGTAGTTCACAGTTTGTTTCAAATGTGTGGTTCACAGTTTGTTTCAAATGTGTGGTTCACAGTGTGTTTCAAATGTGTGGTTCACAGTTAGTTTCAGATGTTTGGTTCACAGTTTGTTTCAGATGTGTGGTTCACAGTTTGTTTCAAATGTGTGGTTCACAGTTTGTTTCAAATGTGTGGTTCACAGTTTGCTTCAGATGAACGAACAGACTTTATTTTCAAAGGGTCACAAAATGGACCTGCAGGCCCGTCTTACATTTTTCAGACCACAGTTGTATTCGGTCAAGCATGTTAGGTTTATGTATTCGGTCAAGCATGTTAAGTTTATGTATTCGGTCAAGCATGTTAGTTTTATGTATTCGGTCAAGTATGTTAGGTTTATGTAACAGTATAGATAATATGAATATCAAGTAAAAAACGTGTAAGCATAGGTGGTAAATGCATGCATACACTGTTATCATACATACCCCACATTGGTACACTCAAGCATACACACACACACACACCATCATATTTACACTGTTATACACATACTCTTAAATACACACACAGACACTCTTACATACACACACATATTCACACACAGACACTCTTACATACTCACACATATTCACACACACAGACACTCTCTTACATACACACACATATTCACACACACAGACACACTCTTACATACACACACATATTCACACACACAGACACTCACTTACATACACACACACACATATTCACACACACAGACACTCTCTTACATACACATATGTTAGTTAATTGACAGATTGTCCTCACTGCACATTGAACACTCAAGCATACACACACACACACCATCATATTTACACTGTTATACACATACTCTTACATACACACACATATTCACACACACTTACATACATATATGTTAATTGACAGATTGTCCTCACTGCACATTGAACACGACCATAAGCACTGGGATCCCAACTTCAGTATTTCCCTCAACATGTGGTGACTGATACCTCCAGTTCTTTGTGTTTTATCTGTGTAGTGTTTAAAGTAAGTGAGATGCAAAAGACCCATTTTTTTTTCAAGACTTTTACCGGTGCTACAGTTTCATGGGTCTGAGCTGAAACCATCTTGAAAATATGTTAAATACACATATATACACAGACACACCCACTCATAGATGCTTCTATTTAACCAGGGGCTCAGGACCAGGAAATGGCTCCAGAGATGTCTCGGACAGACTGACCACCTTAAAAGATGACCTGGCCACTCTGCGGCAGCAGGAGCTGGAGCTGGACAAACACAAGCAGTGGGTGCAGCAGAGCATCAGGAATGTCACGGATGAGGATACAAACGTCAGGTACGGACTGCTGCTTCTTCATCTCTAATGTCTGGCTCTATCTCTAGTTACTGTGTGTCTCCACTCTGGTGTCTGTATCCACCTCTAATTAATGTGTCTTCCTTTTTCTTATGTCTGTCCCCATCTCTAATGTGTGTCTTCAACTCTGATGTCTGTCCACACCTCCAATGTCTGTCTCCAACTCTGTCTATTTCCATCTCTAATGTCTCCACCTCTAATTAATGTCTGTCCCTAATTCTTATGTCTGTCTCTGCCTATCTTTACCCATTGAAAGTCTACCTACCTTTACCCATTGAAAGTCTACCTACCTTTACCCATTGAAAGTCTACCTACCTTTACCCATTGAAAGTCTACCTACCTTTACCCATTGAAAGTCTACCTACCTTTACCCATTGAAAGTCTACTTACCTTTACCCATTGAAAGTCTACCTACCTTCACCCATTGAAAGTCTACTTACCTTTACCCATTGAAAGTTTCTTTACCTATGGAAAATCTGCCCATTTTTACCCATAAGCATTGAGTGTCATTAGGATCCACAATGACCCCAAAGAGCTGTCACCGTATCTACCTAATCATAATGTAGACTGTTACCTAGAGGAGCAGCAGCAGTCAGTCTATCTACCTGCTGATTGATTTATTCCCGAATCACCTGTTTATGTAACGCCCACTCCACAGTCCACCAGCAGGTGGAGGAGCCTGGCAGTGAGGCAGGTTCCAACACTGGGAGAGTTGTATCCACTAATGTGTGGGTTGATAAATCTGGTACTTTTCCCCACACAGGTTAGCCTTTGTGACACATGAAGATATTTGCCATTGTTTCAAGGGAGACACTTTGTTAGCCGTCCAGGCACCATCAGGGACACAGTTGGAGGTACCCATACCTGAAATGGTGAGTCCCACAGTGTCTCTGTGTGTTCTTGACCTGCAATGTGTTTCTGTGTTCTTGTCGCTGTTTGTTTGTGTCACGGTGAGTGTATACTTATCTCTCTGTGTCTTTGTTTGTTCTTGTTGCAGTCTTTGTTTGTTCTTGTCACAGTGTCTTTATGTGTTCTTGCCCCACAGTGTCTGTTTCTTCTTGAGCTGCTCTGTGTTTCTGTGTTCTTGTCACAGTGTGTTTGTGTCACGGTGTCTGTGTATACTTGACTCTCAGTGTCATAGTTTGTTCTTGTCACGGTGTCTTTATGTTCTTCACTCAAAGTGTCTCTGTTCTTGACCTGCATTGTGTTTCTGTGTTCTTGTTGCAGTATTTTTGTGCTTACGGTGTCTGTGTATGCTTATTTCTCAGTGTCTTCATTTGTTCTTGTCACAGTGTTGTTGTTTTCTTGAACGGCACTGTCTTTGTGTGTTCTTGTCGCAGTGTGTTTGCCCCCAGTGACTCTTTGCTTGTTTATAATGTCTGTGTGTTTCTGTGTGTGTTTATCCCACAAGGTATACTGGTTCCAGGGTATTTTCATGTACTTGTTTCATGGTTATTTGTTCTCTTATTCCATCATTATATGTGCTTAACCCTTTGCATCTGTTCTATATTTGTGCCACAGCATTTATGATGCTTGTCTTGAGTCAAGAACCGAAATCAGAGCACTCACGTCTTTCCTGTAAGCACTCCGTCCACATCTTCAGGAGCCAGTTCCTATGGTACTAGTAGCTGTTTGATTGTTTGTCTGGGTGTCAGCAAGATCCTCCAGTCACCCCCAAGTGCACCATGATGTTCTGTTTGTGTTACACTATTCACTGACTCCCAAAGGGGCCTTGACCGCATCTGACTTGCCACACATTAATTTACCAATAAGTCATGCGGAAGCAGCCAGTTGATCTCTGACGTATCATTTCCCCAAATGCCTGATTGCCCTAAAGTACCCAGAGGACGCTTACTACTCTGAAGTGATGCATGGCATGCACATCTCCACCTTTCTTAGAATGCTTTATGTGTCTTTCACAATCGTGACAGGTGTGTGCACCTGGTTCTCAAGATAGCAGAAAGCTGCAGTGACTGCCTCCACCTCCATTCATAAACTAGATGTAATCATATCAGTTATATGTTTCTCTGAACAGGCACCTGGCAGTAAAATCAACTACCAGCTTCACTTGAAAAGCCAGAGTGGCCCCATCAACGTCCTTCTAGTAAACAAAGACACAGACCACTCAGATCCCATCATTGTGCAGGTCCCCCCTCCAGCAGCTGCAGCAGCTGTTGCTAAAGCAGATGTGAACAGCAACAGTCAGAATGAATCTCAGAATCGGAACCCCAACCCAGAGAAACATGCAGACAAAGGTGGTACAACAACTAGAAGAAAGGTATGATCTTGTTATCTGTTCCTTTATTTTGTGTAGATAGATTGGCTGCTGCCGCTTCTATAGGTGGTGATTTGTGATTAGAAAGGATTATCATCACAGCACTCGGACAGATCCATAGGTGCTCATATCTCCTCCTCAAAAGCTCTACAAGTGTAAAACGACGGATGACGCCTGTTCTGTGTTGGTTAATGAAACATCTTGTCCCCTTAGTGAAATCTTCATTTCTTGCAGCTCCAGGCTACACCCCCATGTCCATCAGTCTAGACAGGGATACGGAGTCATGTCCTTTGGTGTGATCCTCGGTACGGTAAGTGCAGCGCATGGCATTGATAACATTCCTTCTGTCCAGTACTGGGCCAGCCATATCAACCGCAGTGTCAGCAAGATAGTCTGCACGCTCGTTTCCTTGAACACCCGCATGACCTGGCACAAAGATGAAGTTTAGGGCAGATATTCGTGAAGTGCTTAGTGTTTCAGTCCATTCTTGCCTGATAAATCCAGGTTGGAAATGTTTAAGCATATTCATTGAGTCACTAAGAATGCATACGTGTGTGAACTTTAGAGTACCAAGCCATGCTAAAGCCCTTGTTACAGCCATAGTTTCCATTGTAAGGCTACGAGTTGTAACAGCATAGGTGCCATTTATCTCCTTGATGGTTTTCCCCCCTTGAGCTACTGTGAATGACCATGCACTTCACTTGCCCTGAATTACTGACCCATCTGTGTTCCTATAGGTGGTGAGCTACCTTATAAAGCAGAACTAGTGAAATGTACAGTGCAACCGAACAGACCTAGCATGCATGCATTGACAGGCTAATTCAGCGAAGGGCGAGCAATGGATCTGGAAGATATTCATCGCTGCGGGGGAAACATAGGCCAACTTGTAATGAGGTTGCAACGGGTACTGTTAGCATGTCGACTCTTCGTTGGTTACTGGAGGAGGAGACGGAGCATGGGTGGGAATGTCCAGAGTGTAGGAATGTCAATTCCCTAATTAGTTAATTCATTCATAATTTTGTATGATTGTTGTGGGCTTAGCTCACTCTTGGCGGCTTGTTTGCCATTTAGCCTGTAACGGAATTGTGTACCCACTGTTCACATTGGAAATATTATATATATATGGGGCCGCAGTCTCTTCCATGGTGCTACTCTCATTCTGCTGCCTGAAAACCACAAGTACACACACACACACACACACACACACACACACACACACACATATATATATATATATAATATATATATATATATATATGGTACATATCACGAACTTGCCCACATCTCGCTAGGCATGAGATTTCGTGTCGGCTCCCATTCATGCTGTGGCTGTTCTCACAGGTTGTCTGTCCTATGTTCTAGGGGTGTCATGTTGTCATTTTTAACATTCTAAGTGTTCTGTATTCCATGTCGTGAGTGGCCAGCACGTTTTATATTCCAGGTCGTGAGTGGCCAGCGCATTTTATTTTTTGCGTTGTAAGTTGGCTGTTCATTGCTATCACTGCGGCCTTACTTGGTGACTTAAACTTCGAGATACATTTCTTTTCCCAGACAGGCTTTTTCAGGGCCCACCCCAAAATGTCACAAATTTTCAAACCAGTGACAGTTGCACAAGAGACGTAGTTGACAGAGAAAAGAAAACTAGGTCAAGACTTAGCTGCACGCAGAAGAAAAATAAAATAACCATCGCTCAGTGAAGCCTCCCACGAGAGAGAGAGAGAACGCCACACCTTTGTCCTATTGGGCCTCGAAAGAATGGGAGCCAGTTTTCGGTACCTTGTGTATAGGCAGCTAAAGAGAAAGAACGCAAATACTAACCCCCTTCCCCCCCCCCCCCTCTATAACATAGGACAGCCTGTGGGCATGAATGGGAGCTGAGGCGAAATCTTGCGCCCGGTGAGATGCGGGCAAGTTTGTGATATTTTATATATATATATATATATATATATATATATATATATATATATATATATATATATATATATATATATATATATATATATTGGGGGGGAGGGGGGGGGGGTTTATTTAGCCATAGGCAAGAATTATTTCCAAACCATTTGTATTTATTGTAATGTGCTATTCCTGAACATTTAAAAATGATTCTTGAACGTGTGTTTCTCCTATACATTTTTAAAGTTGTTGCTAATTAGTAGTTTCTCTTAAATATTTTTGAAATTGTTCCTAAACTAGTATTTTCTCCTGAACATTAAAAAGATTTTAGTAAACTAGTATTTGCTCCTGAACTTGTGTGGTTTGTTCCTCAACTAGTATTTGCTTCTGAACTTGTGACTTTTGTTTATTCCTGAACTGGTTTTATTTGTTGAGCTACTACTCTTCTCTCAAACAGCGACCCACCAAAGCTCCCCTCAAGCATTCTCAGACGGCAGCCATCATAGAACCACCCACTCGCATGGCAACAAGGTCCTCGCCGAGGAAAAGCACACCAGATACTTTCTCAAGTCAACGTAAGTAAAGGCGCCAGGTAATTGGAGTCGATGTTGAAGCTTTGTTTTAAAATCTGACCTACTCCTTTTCTTTTCATTAGAATTCCCCAGCTGTAAACACTGGAGGAAAGTTCGTCCACTTATTGACTTTATTCTTTGTTCAAAGGCTGTAAGCTCCGGCTTCTGGTTGTTCATCCATTAGGACTTTGTGCCATGTGGCATTGGTAGTCATGTCTATCCACAACTTTCTGTCTCGTGTACTTTTAATCAGCTCTGACACAGATGTGGAGGGGGATAGACTCACCTCCCCCCCCCCCTTTTTTTTTTCCTCCTCCAACAAACGTGTCGAACAAAGCGACTATTTAGGCTTTTGAAATCAGAGCGCATCTGCCTAATAGACAAGATCTAACAGGACCTGCACGCAAATCTCAAAGTTTTTTAAACACAAAGTCCAGAGGTGGACGAACAATCAGAACCTTCTGCCGCAGGTGAAAGCTAAGAAGATGAATTCTCTTCTTCAGATTTGCCGCCAGAATGTTCTAGTTGTTCGTCCACCTCTGGTCTTGTCCCAAACCTGAGTGTTGCGTGCATGTCCGTTTTACAGATCTGGGGGGGGGGGGTCGCACGGTAGCGCAGTCAATAAGAAGCTCGCTTTCAAATCCAGCTGCAACTCGCTGCAGCCCACGGTCGGTGTTCGAAACCGGGCGGCTCCTGGGGTTCACCCAGCCTCTAGGAAATGGGTACCCGAGTTGATACTCTGGGGTAAATGGAGGAATGTCGTTGTAGCTACAGAGTTACGTGCGAACGGCGACACAAGCGGACAATTCTTCTCAGCTGTCCGTACTGGTGGCAGAGCACTAATGGTTTATAACCGTGTGCAATGACACTGGTTCATAACCGTGTGCAATGACACTTTTTCATATCTTCCGACTTTACATTTACAGATCTGACTTGTTTATATGCAGATTGCTGGTTCCTTGCCTCTTAGGCAGAGGCACTCCAGCTTTAGAGAAAGCTCTTGCAACATGCTTTTGAGTAGGCAGTTAGTCTATTCTTGTCTTCCCCCACAATGGGGCTCCTGAAACTCACACTGGGAAGGAGATTTAATAGATTATTAACATATTTACTGCAGTTTCCTATCTTCAGTTTCAGACACTTTTGACATCGTTGAATTTATATGCAACATTGTTTTCTTCAGCGGCTACATCTTCCCACTCAGCAGAGATCACGTCGTCTTCAGCAGACTTTGGCCTTGGCATGTTTAACCATGATTTGCTGTTTGATAAAGATATTGGTGAGTTATTGCTATTAGAGACAGTGTGACTCCAGTTGTTAGTTTTTGTGTACTTGAAATATTTGTCATAGCCCTGAGACTACCGCTTTTTCATATTTCGATGTGAAGTTTTACATTTTCTTCTCTGCGTTCATCCTAAGATGTAATTGGGTTGTTCCCGTTTACAGCATGGCTGGGATATTTGCACCTTTCGGCCGGCATATCCAACTTCTGCAGGCATTAGTTGACCTGGTTAGCCTTCCTGGCAGTTTCCATTTGTTATCACTATCGTGTACGGCAAAATTTTGTGTTGGTACCCTTCTCTTCCCAGATGATGGTGTTATATTGAGACAGAAAGAAAATAGTCATGATAAAAATGAAATATTGACATACTATGCTAGGTGTAGCGGGGAAAGATTGACTTAGGATTGATGATATCAGGAGCAGAATTGACACAGAAAAAATGCTGAACTTTAAAGGTAGACAGATCAAATCAAATGGTTTGGCCATGTAACAAAATTGGCACCAGACAGGGCACCACAGAGAGCTTCAATGGAAACAGCGCCAGAGGTCGACAAAGCAGAAATATCAGAGACACTGAAAAGTACTTTATATGAAGTGAACAGAAGGGTCCTTTTCAGGGATCTCTTCCTCCCCTGATGCCGCGAGGCACTCCAGGAGTAGAGAACAGAAGAAGTGTTGCACTGTATTGTTGGGAGGTATAGGAGTCATGGAGACAACTGCTGCTTCCAGAACAACTTGCATGGCTAGCAGACGCAGCGGCCACACCTGCGGTAATCTTCTTCTTCTTCTTTGTTTATCGGCTGTAAGCTCCAGCAGAAAGTCCTGGTTGTTTGGACTGTGGTTTTGTGCCAGGGCCTTTTGCATGTACATCTGATTCACCGGCCTGTTTATGTGCAGTTAGTTGTTGCTTAAAAGTAGGTCCCTAGTTGGTTGACTCCTGTGACATGCTTGTCGGGGAGGCAGTAGGTCTCTTCTTGTTTTACCCCAGAACCCACACAGGGAATGTGATAATTGTTTGAAACTCAATGAGCATGCTGCAATGTGTCGCTTCTATGGGCGCTGACTCATTGTCTATGATGATGTGTGTATTTAATGCTCTTAGCCCACATTCTACAATGACATAACTGGGACAAGCCAACACCGACTTAGCAGTACGATACATCAGTTTATTGACATCTTATCACTTACATCAAAAGTCCTGTCCGTGTCCTAATATACAGCTTGCACACACCACATTACTCAGACTCCCACATGCCGGTTTCTCACACAGTCACTGACCAGAGTTCGCACAGATGAATCTGGTTATTCTCCTCGGCTTCACACAGAATTGCCTGGCTGGTCTTGGCTTCAATGGACGTCGTCTGCTCTTCCTCTCGCAGCAATCAGTCTCACGTTGTCATTCTCTCGATCACTCTCCCATCCTTTCACTCCGACAGTCAACACAAAGTCAAACTAACTGGGGTCTGGGCTTATACCCAGTGTTTGTTCCACGTGGCAACACGTGGTTGTTTTTTGGGTTTCACGTGGCAACCTGTGGTCGCTATCATCGGGTTCCCCGTGATACCTCGTGGTCGTAACCTATCTTGAAAACCTTGTTTAATCCGAGTATCTGGCTTCTCTCGGTATTCTTGTTAACCTTGGGCTTTCCCCCCAACCTTCCTAATCAGAGTAAAAATATCCCCCAGTACACATGCTTCAGAAAATCTGCTCCGAATGGGTAGATAGCATTCGGAAGTCGCAGTTAACCTGCATCCTCTGAATCTACACACCTGGGCACGCAGGAGTAAAAAGTTATGAAAGAGCTGGCAATTAATGCATTAGTGCAAATGGGAAGAAATGTGGACAGAGCTACAGACTCGGGGGGGGGGGGGGAAAATGTTGAATCTCTGATGCTAACATGATAGCCTGACCAAGGAGTTGAGCTTGGTGAAGCTCTATAATACCTGTATCATTCATGTCCTGCTTGCATGCATCTTTATATGACGTAGTGGAGGCTGACTCCTACTCATCTGTAATTCAACATAGAGGATGTCTTTAGGGAGATACTCCAATCTCCAAGTATGACCCGGCCACCTGAGCCTTTGAAGATTGAGTACTGAGAAAACCGCTGGCATACTTGCTTTTTCCAGTACAACAAAATTTATTGTTTGTTAAAATCACCACAAATTGCTGGAATCATGAGGGGTAATACTGCAGTGGGTGGGGCGTATATAGATAACAGAAACGCTGCATACACCAGACAGTTGACCACGATACAGACCAAGAAGATGGAGGGAGAGATTATATCCAGGCAGACCCACAAACAATGGATATGAAAAGCGGACTAAAATGGAGGATCCTTCCAGGTTCAGGATGATGGCATCACACATCTAGGGACAATACGCCACAACAGACAGTTTAAGTCATTAAACTTGGCGCAGAAAAGTTCAGACCACAATTATAACAGAAGCTGTTCTCAGCAGGGTTGAACACGGTCAGATTATGTTTACCTGCCAACACTTGGAGTCACCAACTGAAAAGAGAAGGGCAGTCACAGAAATGAATGGTGATGTCTGGGAGTCGCCGTGGTGTATGGACAAGACGCTCGCCTGCAGATTGAAAAGTCATGGGTTCAGATTCTGACAGGTCCAGACTTTTTTCACAAATGACCTTGGCTCCCAGTCTGCCCAGCCATAAATGGGTACCAGGTACATTCCTGGGAAGTAAAGGCGGCCTACGCGATGTTGATCCCCTCACCCATGGCCAGTTGTTTGTCTATAAGATATAGGTTTAGACCTATATACCTCTTACGCTTGATGGCATGGAGAAGGGTTTTACTCTGTGGTATCTGCAACAGTGAACCTCAAGGGCTGAGAATGTTGAAGAGGAGGAATGTCTGTCGTGCCGTCTGAAAAGGTGATAGATGATTGCTCAGGTGGTCTAGGTACTTTATTGTAAGATGTCTTTAACCCTTTTGCGCCAAGAAGAAACAAAACCGACACTTCCGGTCGGGTCCTATTCCCTGTAAGCTAACTTTTCCCACTTGTCTGTGGTGACCCGCCTGCTAGATGCATAGTTAATGCTGTTGGCTGGTTTTGCACCTGCACAAGCTTTTAGGTCAGGGTATGATTATGTTGACTAACATTAGCATTCAAGGGTGATTTTTTTTTTAGGGGGGAGGGCGGGGTTGAGCTAAATAGCTTTTTTTTTTTTTTAAAGCCAAGTTGAAACAGATTTCTGTACGCCTCAGTGATATGGGTCACACAATGCATGTGTTTTTTACACCCCGGGGGATGTATTCCATTTAATGTTCAGCCTGTTCATGTTTATTAATTACTCCTTTCATATATCCTTATGTATTTAAGAGAAAAACTCTAAATAAATACATTTCTACACATTTGTTTGCAACTGGTTCAAAATAGTGTGTATTTTATGGAAAGGGGGTGGGGTTTTCATTATTCATTTATTTTCTAGAATTCTTACTTGGTCATGACTTTTTTTTGGGGGTGATATTTCATTGCCGTCCTGAAGCAGTCACTGCCAGAGACTGCCCGGTTCAGGGAGTTAATTCTGGTGGAGGCAGGTGGAGATAAATCTATAATGTTTCTGCATTGACACCCACAGGGTCATTGAAATAGAGCTAGACCCCCCCCCCTCCCCCTTCCCCAAAGAAACCACATTAGTTCGAGAATTGTAGAATAAGATGAAAAGGTAAGGTTTGCTTGGAGCATAGTGAAGAGCGTAGAATAGCAAAAAGATTGGATGAGTTCACCCAATTTTTTTGAGGGCATAAGCTTCATTGGAGGTTAAATTGTAGAAGCATACTGGAACATTTGCAGGGACAACTTCTGAGATCAGAGAGTGGAAGTGTGGCATTCGTTAATTATTGTTTGAGTGTTAGTTTATCTTCTTTCTTGTCTTTGTTCTCCCTGAAACAGATCTGGCAGGAGATTTGTTAGATCTGGAGCAACTCATAGCATCAGACGGTCAGTTGGCACTTTTTCATTTTGTTTCTCTCGCCATATTCACTTGTACAAGACCTTTGTAATGGGTAGTAGAATAGTAAGCTGGGCTCGCAAGCGGGAGGCCCAGGTTTGAATCCTCAGTATCCCCATGTGGGTTCCGCGTCCCTGTTATAGGGAAAACAAGAATAGACCCACATAGGGAAAACAAGAATAGACCCACATAGGGAAAACAAGAATAGACCCACTGCTTACCCAAAAGCCTACAAATGAGTCAGATCTGTCAAACAGATGCACACGCAGCACTCAAGTTCAGGAACAGGACTGCAGTCCAGAAGTGGACGAACAACTAGAACTTTCCGCCAGAGTTTATAGCTGTGTGAACGCGAAGAAGAAGAAGAATCCTCGGTAAGGCAATGGGTTTTTTCTGTCGGGGGGCAAAATAAAATCCTCACCTGCACAGTCGTGGCGACAGCACTAGCCATGCAGCCGTAAATCCTCAGGCTGAAAGACTTCCCCACCTCACCAACACCACAAAAGTGATGAATTAAAGGCAGTAGTTAGCAGTTTGGCAGTAGTAAGGTGGAGTCAGGATAGGAGATGGGGTGGTAAAGCATGTAATTGGTATCATAATCATGAGGTGAGGTTGTGGAACTTGTAACATGTAACAGAATGATGAGATGGGGTCATAGACCTTCACTTGTAATATATGAGGGAATAATGAGATGGGGTCATAGACCTTCACTTGTAATATATGAGGGAATAATGAGATATGGTCATAGACCTTCACTTGTAATATATGAGGAAATAATGAGATGGGGTCATAGACCTTCACTTGTAATATATGAGGGAATAATGAGATGGGGTCATAGACCTTCACTTGTAATATATGAAGGAATAATGAGATGAGGTCATAGACCTTCACTTGTAATATATGAAGGAATAATGAGATGGGATCATAGACCTTCACTTGTAATATATGAAGGAATAATGAGATATGGTCATAGACCTTCACTTGTACTCTGTGAAGGAATAATGAGCTGAGGTCATAGACCTTCACTTGTAATATGTAAGAATAATGAGATGGGGTCATAGGCAACTTGCCCCTTCTTTCTTTATAATATACATATAGTTTATTAACAACAATGTACAGTAATCAGATGTTTGTGAAATGTAATGTTAAACAATAGAATATTTGTTTCTTACCACAGCTCTGGGTCCGCTGCTGTCCTTGAGTCCGCCCCCCAGCGGTAAGGACTACTATTTTAACCTAGACAATACGGAAGGGGCCTGTGATCTCTTTGACGTGGACATTCCCAACATATTATCTTAGTATAGTTTTCACATGTATAGTTTTTATTTGTGTGTAATATGCCTGGACAAGTGTTGTGGTAGATTGACATCTCAGTTGTATGTTTCATAAGCAGTGTTATTGTACAGGCAATTGCTAATTCAGCACTCTAAGTTAAAAGTTCTGACTTTGTACTTTAGATTATAGCTGCTGTGATATAGTGGCTGGACACATAGTGCCAGATTTTTTTTCGACCATGACCTTGGCTCCCAGATTGACCCAGTTTTTAATGGGTACTAGGTGAAGTCCAGGGAAGTAAAAGCAGCCAGCATGGTGCTGCCCACATCACCCCCAGAGGGTCTAGCCTCATATGCCTAATGTTTCCATTTTACTTTAGATTATTTGGGGGGCTATCGTCACAGCAACAACACCCCTCCTATGTGGTTTCTGAGATTACAGTTGGGGGGGGGGGGCTGTTGTCACAGCAGCACTCCCTCGTGTGGGTTCTGGGAATCCAGTTGGGAGGGGGGGGGGGGGTTCTGGTTGTTTGTCTAGACTTCAGTCTTGTCCCAGAATCCCACAGGCGCGTGCCTATTCATTGTACAGATCTGGTGTATTTGTATGCAGACTTTTTGTGTGTGTGCCTCTCGGGCAGATGCAGTCTGACTCCCAGTTAATCAACTCATTCGACATGCATGTTGGGGAGGCAGTGTATCTGCTATTGTTTTTTCCCCACGATGGAGCACTGGAATCCACGAAGGGAAAAATTAGCGTTTTACTGTGTCTGTACGTCTGTAACCCGACTGTGATTGCTGCTGCAGTCTGAGCAAGCTCATAGGACTTTTCCTTACCAGTAACATATATTGAATCATATGAAGACTTCTTACACACCTGATGTGTGTGGGTACCTGTCGAGAATTATATTCCGTCCATTACCTTATTTTTTGTCAAAATATAACTGGTTGTGCTTTTGGATGCCTTTTAATCAGTACAGAATTTCTCTCTTATCATTGAATGTTGTATTACGAATCAACATCATAGCACTTGGGAGACTTCCATAAGCGCTCTGTCGCCATCTTTATCAGTAAAGTGAAGAGTTCCAGTTGCAGTGGCACCAGTAACTGTCTGATTGTTCATCTGTCTTGTCATCATTATCATAAAAAGTTATGTTGCATTGTTTCTTCAAATCTGTGGCTTAGTACATTCAGATTTGACATCCTGATTTTAAAAATCTTGTGGACAACAACAAAAACAAACAAACAAAATTTGCGGGCCACTAACACTTTTTAAAAGCCAAGTTGACATCAGATTTTCTCCGGTAGAGGTCACCGGGTCACAACAGGGATCATTTGATACATATTGTTCTGTAGACCCTGGGGAATGTATTATTTCTAATGCTTCACTTTGTTCATGTTTGTAGATAACTCTTTTATCTATATTTATTTATTTCAATGACAGAAAATTAGAAGCTGTATATAAATAGCTTTTTATAAAATCTGTTAGTGACATGTTTACAAAATAAACAAATTAATTTTTTTATGAGGATTTCCCTCAGGGTCATGGTCTGTTTTGTTAGCACTGTGAGGGCAACAGTTTCCTTGTAGTTTTCGTAATGTCTGGAAACATTTGTTTCCCCTATTGTGTTCTACATTTTCAAAGTGAAGGATGTATGTTGCCCTGTTGTAGTTATAAAATTTCTGACTATCTTTTCCAGCTTTGTGCCTCTATATATCTGTATGTAACTCCCCCCCCCCCCCCCCCCACCTCCGTCTCTCTCTCTTCCCCTCTGTTTTCCTTTCTCATCTGCTTGTGCAGCTTGCACATAGGCCCCTGCTATTTTAATTCAAAATTATTAATAACATTCACTTCTGCGAGTTCTTTTATTCTTAATTTATATTTGTAGCTATACATACCGTAAGCCTATGTCAGTAGCCTTCCCTTAGTTAATGAAAGATCAAAAACTGTAGGTTTCATGGTTCCTGCAACAGTGCATATGTCCGAGATACGAAACTGCACATAGTGTAGAGAAGGCACAAATGCAGTGCTGGTCGACTCTGTTCATTTTTTCTCACAACAGGTAAAACAAGAAGAGTCTATTTTATTTTTAAATAAATAAATCCTGAAAGAACAGGTTGCTGGTACTCACTACAGTGTTCACAGGCTGTGAGCTCCGGCGGAAAGTCCTGGTTGTTCGTCCATTTGGCTTTGTGCCTGGGCCTGAGTGTTGCGTGTACATACATTTTACTGGCTTTTTTTTTTTCTGGGTATGGTTGGTTGTGCCTTGCCACTCGGGCAGATGCACTTCGACTTCGAAGGAAGTCTTCAATTAGTTGATGGTTGGGGGGGGGGTAGTCTATTCTTGTTTTCCGCGCAGTAGGACCCCAGAATCCACGGGGGATGGGGGGGGGGGGCCAAGTAAGTAAGTAACGTTCCCTTTTCTACGCCTCCAGGCTAGATCTATAGTTTATAGCCCAACGATGCTTAGTGGGTGGTATGGTTAACATCAGGCTAGCCACCTTTACTTCCCAGGACTCCACCCTGGTACACATTTAAGGCTGGGTCAACATGGAAGCCAATGTTTTTTTTTGTTTTTCAAGGTTCTAAGATTGATTAAAAGGTGTTTATTATTTACAGAGGTGCTAAAAGTGATGCCGAAAGAAAGTTGCCAGTACTGTGTACCACTAGGAAGTAAAAATCCATAGTTCCGACACTATTGTGTGAATATATTGATTTCTGCGTCCCTGTGTGGGTTCTGTGGCCTCATCGGGGGGAGGGGGGGGGGGGGAGTAGACCCATTAGCTCTCCAACAAACTTGTTGTAGGAGAGTGGACTAACTTGGGGGGAGCATCCTTCGAAGTCGGAGAGGGAAGGAACAAACAGTCTGCATACAAATAGGCCAGATTTGTAAAGCGAATATGCATGCTTCTTCTTCGCATTCACCAGCTGGAAACTCTGGCGGAAAGTTCTGGTTGTTCGTCCACTTCCAGACAGCAGTCCTGTTCCAGAACCTGAGTGTTGCGTGTGCATCCGTTTTACAGATCTGACTCATTTGTGTGTAGACTGCTGGTTCTTTGCCTCTCAGGCAGATGCACTCCGACTTCGAAGAAAGCTCCCAGTTTGTCGACTCTTACAACATGCTTTTGGGTAGGCAGTGGGTCTTTTCTTGCTTTCTCTATAATAGGGCCCCGGAACCCACACGGGGAGGATATGCATGCAGAACTCAAGTTTTGGAATGGACTAGAGCAGTGATTCCCAAACTGTGCGCCCCAGGGAGCCGCGATCTCTTCTTTTACATACGAATAGTCATACTTTTACTTAGGTGAAGGGGCCGTGACTAAGAAATGTTTGGGAAACACTGGGCTTGAGTCTAGACGTGGATGAACAACCAGAACTTACACCTGGTGAGCGTAAAGGTGAAGAAGAAAATTGTGACCCTGTTTACAAGTTTGTTATAATGACAAAACAATCCCACTTGTCTATTGGTGTACATAAAGATGTATGTGTTTTCAATTTGTTGTCCTTCACAAATTATAATTACAGTTTTGATATTTTAAATTTATTAGTCAGTGGTAATTGTTTTGTGTGTGCATGTATGCTTGTCTTCTTCTTCGCGTTCACCAGCTGTAAATTCTGGTGGAAAGTTCTGGTTGTTCGCCCACTTCTAGACTGCAGTCCTGTTCCAGAACCTGAGTGTTGCGTGTGTATCCATTTGACAGATCTGACTAATTTGTATGCAGACTGTTGGTTCCTTGCTTCTCATGCAGATGCTCTCCTGACTCCCAATTAGTCAGCTCTTACGACATGCGTTTGTGTAGGCAGTGGGTCTATTCATGTTTTCCCTATAATAGGGCTTCGTAACCCACATGTGGAATGTATGCTTGTGACTGTGGCTTAAAGGGTTAGTGAACGCGTTACAGTTTTATGATCCTCTAGCACTATGGTTTTTTTCTTCACATTCACCCGCTGTAAACTCTGGCAGAAAGTTCTAGTTGTTCGTCCGCTTCTGTACTTTAGTCTTGTTCCAGAATATGGGTGTTGCATGTATATCCGTTTCACATATTTGGCTTATTAGGTATGCAGGCTCTTGGTTCCTTGCCACTCAGGCAGATGTACTCCTCTCAAAAGATGCCCCTAGTTAGTCGACTTCTAAGACATGCTTGTTGGGGAGTGCGTACAACAGGAAAGTAGAAACACCGGAAAAAAAAAATAGAGGTCGACCAAGAAGAAAATGGGTTGAAGGAGTCACTAATACCTTGAGACTCCACAACATACCGGGCAGCCGAACGTGCCCTAGTTCGGAGACTGATCCTCTATTAATCTGTGCCTAGGCACGAAGCATAATATGGACAAAATATCTGGTATCACCCCTGCAAACCAAACTATTCAGCAGTGTGAGCTTTGATACCCATAGTGTCCTTAACATCTGATGTCTACGGTAGTGTTGGCTGCATCTTGCCTTTTCTTCCAGGGACTACCATATTGGCACCTTTCAGTCTGTCCAGATGATTTTGTTATACAGAGGCAACGAGAGTAAAAACACAAATTTGACCACATTCAAACTACTGTGAGCCCTATCGGTTATAATTGTGGTCTGATTTCTTTGTGCCGATTATGTTGGCTAAGAAGTGTTAATTGCAGTTTAACAACAATGAGCTGATTAACAACAAGAGTTTGGGAGAACAGAATGCTCACGTTTAAAACAAAAATTGTTGTCTATCAGGCTTGTGTTCTCAGCACTATGCTTAATGGCAGTGAAACTTGGTCAACTTATTCGCACCAGGAGAGACGGCTAAATAGCTTTCACTTGCGATGCGTAAAAATTCTTGGTATTAAGTGGCAGGACAAGATCACAAACACTGAGGTTTTGGAAAGAGCAGGCATTGCAACAAGTCTTCTCAGTGCTCAGTCCACAAAGGCTCAGGTGGCTGTGTCACACCTGGAGAATGGAGGTGGCAAAGTCCCTAAGGACAAGATGTCGAGGCCGACCCCTACAACGATATAGCGATGTGTGCAAATGGGACATGAAAAATACAGGTGTTGAG